CTGGAGGTCTGAAGAGGACCTAGGGCCTCGCCTGAGGTCAGCAGCAGCCTGGGACAGCTGGAGAGAACACAGAGGCTGCCCAGGGTGCCCACGGGGTTCCTGCTGGCCCTGCTGAGACCACAATACAGCTCCCAGAAAACAAAGCCAGAGGTCTCTGAAAATACCCACCATTCAGGGCCCAGCAGCTGTCTTCTCATTTGCCAAAGGGAAGGACGTCTCACCCTGATTTTTGTTTTGTTTTGTTTTGTTTTGCTTTGTTTTGTTTTGTGGCAGACTGAGGTGGGAGATGAGAACCTCATTTTGATAAGTGTCACATTTTGTCCGCAATACATAAGCTGATTGGCTCCTTCCTCGTTTTGGGAAGCTGTTTTTAAATTCCAAAGTTAGAATTCTGCTCCTAAGAAGACACCTTGTAAACACACTCCCGTGATGCATACCGTCTCGCATGGCAGCACCGCATGTCATTAACGGACTGGAAGCAAACTAAACCTCCGTCTCTCGAGGGTGTCACATGCAGTGTGGTGCCATGCATGTAGTGGGACACACTGGAGGCCTCAGCAAAGACAGGCCACCTGTATGTACTGATGTGAACTTAGCTCCAAGAGATACTGAGTGGAGAAGGTACTAACAGTGAGAAAAATCACGGGCCACCTAAACACCCCTCTTGACAGGTCAGTCTGGCCAATATGTGACTCTGAAACCTGCTTATCCTAAAAAGCTGGTTTTAACTGCATTTCCTAGAGCAGATGCACAATACCTGGGAGGCAGCACTGTTGGGGGAGCATGCTGGCGGAATCACCAGCTGGGTTTGGGGTAACAGACCCAGGATCTCTCATTGTTTGGAAACAGTATTACAACATTAAAAGTTGCTTTCATCAATAATTGCAATAATCTATTTCAAAAAGAATGAAGAAATGCAAAGTGGACTAATTCTCGCACACTGAAGCATCTTGGTAGCTAAATTAGCAGCTCGGCTTTGTCTTTCCATGATTATAAAAGAATTAAGAAGTGTCACAAGCCACGTCTCTATCTCCGAGTGCAAATTAGGAAAAGGATGGGCTGGAAGGTCAGAGGCTTCTAGACCCTCTTATGCCTGACATGGCATTGGCAGGAACACAGAGAACCTAGGGCCACAACCAAGATGCTGAGCTTAAGGGGTGCCCTGGGGGCAAGCCTGGGGGGCAGCACCAGGGCAGACTGTTTTCCTGCTGTGTCTGCAGGGGATGACCGGCCCCAGGCCAGGGATGTGCTCAGCTGGACACATGCAGAACA